CTTGTGGTCAAGTTGCTCCAGCAGAAACAGAAACTGGACTCAATCAGACCATTCAGGTCCAGATCAGGGGGGTTGGAGCCAATCACTGTCCCAAAGGAGAGTGTCCCTGGCAGGTAAATCACACCTGAAGTGTCAGTGAAATACCTGCAGCCTAGAGGCTGGAACCAGAACCAGACTGGTGGTCTGATAAAATGGCTGATTTTTAACTTGATTGCCTTCATTTATGTTTATAAAAAGGTTCTGGTTCAGCTRAATGGAAAGAGTCACTGTGGAGGAGTTTTGATCCACCCAGACTGGGTCATCACCGCCGCCCACTGTTTGCATGGCAATGACACCCAGAAACTCACCGTGGTGGCAGGTATGGTATTGTCCTGTCGTGGGCACAATTAACCTCACTAACTCATATCTGCTCATTTAAATTACAGCTTTGCCAATGCTGAACATGGAAAAAAAAATTAGCGTAGTCTAATGCTAAATAAAATGGAAAAAATATTGGTGGAAGGTAACATTAAACAGCTACACAAATAAAAATCAGCAAAGGCTAACACTAAACCACTAAACAGTGATCTCCACTCACGAGGTCACACAAACATATACAGTATACTGCTGTCAAAGGATCGCACAGAGTGAGTTTTTATATCGGTAAAAGAAAGAGACGCTTCCAGAGTGAATTACAACACATCCAACTTCAAGAATCACAGGAAAGTTCAGTTGAAACCAGGGTTGAAATGTTGGCTGGAGGGTCGAGGTCTTTGTCAGATTTAGAAAACGAATGGGACTGTTAAACAGTTGGTGCTTTTACTGGTGTTTAATAACTTAGTTTGCTGTATCTATCATGAGTCTATTTTTAATTACTCGAGCCACTGATTCTGCATTGTTTAGAGAATTCAAGTCCCTAGCGTTTGCTATGGGCCCATTTTTAATTTCCCCTAGCTAACTAGGATCAGATGAACTTTCTAAAAACAAAGATACATGTTTTTATATTTATAAAAATACTATATATATA